GCAATCTACCCATCTGACAAAGGGCTCATATGCAGAATCTACAAAGAACTAAAACATATTTACAAGAAAAAAAAAAACAAATAAGCCCACTCAAAAGTCGGTGAAGGATATGAACAGACACTTTTCAAATGAAAACATATATGATGCCAGCAGACATGAAAAAATGCTCATCATTACTGGTCATTAGAGAAATGCAAATCAAAACTACATTGAGATACCATCTCTCGCCAGTGAGATAGCGATCATTTAAAAAATCTAGAGACAACAGATGCTGGAGATGATGTGGAGAAATAGGAACACTTTTACACTGTTGGTGGGAGTGTTAATTTGTTCAGCCATTGTGGAAGACAGTGTGGCGATTCCTCAAGGACCTAGAAATAGAAATTCCATTTGACCCTGCAATCCCATTACTGGGTATGTATCCAATGGATTATAAATCATTCTATTATAAGGACACATGCACATGAATGTTCATTGCTACACTGTTTACAATAGCAAAGACTTGGAACCAACCCAAATGTCCATCAATGGTAGACTGGACAGGGAAAATGTGGCACACATACACCATGCAATACTATGCAGCCATCAAAAAACGATGAGTTCATGTCCTTTGTAGGGACATGGACGAACCTGGAAACCATCATTCTCAGCAAACTGACACAAGAACAGAAAAACCTCACATGTTCTCACTCATAGGTGGGTGTTGAACAGTGAGAACGCATAGGCACAGGAAGAGGAGCAACACACACTGGGGTCTGTTGCACGGAAGTAGGGGAGGGACAGCGGGGGATGGGTAGTTGGGGAGGGATAACATGGGGAGAAATGCCAAATATAGGTGATGGGGAGGAAGGCAGCAAACCACACTGCCATGTGTGTACCTATGCAACAATCTTACATGTTCTTAACATGTACCCCAGAACCTAACATGCAATAAAATATATATACATATATAAAATAAAAATTTTTCAACAAAGAATTTTATTTTGAAGGTATTGAGTATTGGTGTTCTGTATCTGTCCCTTAAGTAGATTTGTTAATTGCATTGTTCAAATATTGCATCTTACTGGTTTTTTTCTGGTTGTTATTTCACGTACTGAGAGCGACCTGCTCATAGTTCCTACTATGATGGTGGATTTGCCTGTTTTGCCATTCAATGCTATCACATTTTTATATTCTGAGGCTTTATTACTGAATGCTTACAAATTTAGAATTGTCATATCTTTTTGGCAAATTGAATTTTTTATCATTATGAAATCTACCTTTTTATCTCTAATAACCTGTTCCACATTAAATTCTACTATGTCTGATAAAGTTCAGGCCTCACAAATTTCAGACCTACAAACACAGCAGCCTCTTCTAGTGCAAAGTGACTTGCTCTCCACACAGCACTATATCTATAGGAATTGCAGTTTGAGTCCCAAACCTGACCCACAAATGAATCCCATTATCTAATTAAATGACTCTCAATGCTAGTTACACATTAGAATCACCTGGGAAAAGGAGGCCCTTTTAAAAACAGCTGATGTCAGAGGTCTGTCACAGAAACTCTACTTACTAGTCTGGAACAAACCTGTATATTACTGTTTAGTAAAAGCACCCAGATTTTTCTGACTTTATAACCTCTGGCTCAGAATGATATCCTGCCACCTCCACCAAGGATGTTGCTCAGATTTATAGTATCTGAATGGAGTCTGCACTCTGTGGAATTTGCAGTCAAAAGCCCTGCCAGATGAAAAACGAAAGATGGAAGAAACCATATACCCTGGATGCCTGGTTATCCCCTGTCCCACTGTATATTTTCTCCAGGTATGATACTACTTTTTCACACTGTGGAAATCTACCCCAGCAGATTCACAGCCTTTTCTTTCTTCCCTAACCTGTCAAGCTATAGCCACAAAGATACTATGTGGTAAGTGTAGCAATTGTGGCCATCACACCTGGATTCTGATTTCCTTTAGGAGTCAATAATGAAAGAGGAATAAAAGGAAAAAAGAAAGAAACTAGTTACCCAGCCCCTGTTAAATTCAGAAACTCTGCTTATTTCTCTGAACTGCCAAGATCCCTGAACTGTTTTTATGCTACCCATACTACTTAGTATGAATTGTCTATTACCATCTCCTCCACTGAACTCTAAGCACTCCAAAAACTGGAACTGTGCCTGGTACCTACTTAGCAGGTGCTCAGTGAAATGTTTGATAAGTGAATAACCAAATAACTAAACAGATGGAGAAGAAGAAATGTTTCCATAGCAGTGGAAAAGATGCAGTCATGGTTTCACTGCTAGGGGCCAGTATTTAACATGGATAATTGAAAACACAGCAGAGGATCAGAGGAGCAGAACTCAAAATCTCATGTGAAAACTCAACAGTTGCTCTTTTTCTTAAACACAGCCTGCTTCTTTTCAAGGCAGCTAAACATTTACCTATCTCCTTGTACTCCATTTCTACTTTTCTTCTTAGACCTCACACACAGCAGCAACCTGATTGTTTCAAAGTGCTCTGTTCTGCTTGCTTTGTCTATTTCCACTTTCCAGCTCAGCAGCAGCCTAGTTGTTAGGGACATCCTTAATATAACAGTAGGAACTCTTTCCAGCTCTACAGCATAGTTTAAGGGAGATTAGTTGAATGTACAGTCCTTCCTTACGCATTTTCTGATTTCCACAGTGTTTTGAAAGAACTGAGAGTTAAGACTGCTTATCCACAAGGCTTTTTCAGTAATGTTATGTTTATCTTAGAATTCCGGCCTAAATGGTAATTGAATTGTGCATGTGGGAGAATGCAGCCAAGATGTTTCAGTAATCATATGGTACCAGGGACTGTGCTGCCTGCATATGACTCTGGGCAGATGAATCTGGTGCCTTCTTTCTTAAGGACTGGGGTTCAAAGAGAAGTAAAAACAGGATGAAGAGCAGCTCACACCAGCTCACTTGACACCGTTTGAAATACAGGAGCACTGTTTCTTTTCAACATTCGTTACTATCAAGTATTCCCATCTGGTAGCTCTAAGAGAGCATAGGATGTGAAATGTGAACAGCCATTTGAATCTCTGTGGAGCCACTGCAAAGAATCACTAAGAAGATAAGTAGGGTCAGCAGTACTAAGACCCATCTATGTGAGTTGTTTTGGAGATTGCTAACATCCCAGTCCAGCATTATTTATTCCACCTACTGACCGAGACCTTTATCCTTTTGGCTTAAGACAGTATTATTCAAAAAATTGTCCATGGACCACCTGCTTTAGAATCATCTGTGGGTGCTTATTTAAAAATACTTATCCCTGAGCCCCAGATCAATAAAGCAGAATCTCTGGGAGTGAGGCCTTGAACTTGTCCTGGGTAAACCACTCAGCTCATTCTTTTGAACCCTAAAGTTTAGATTGCTGCCTTGAGACCTTACTAAGTATTAAGCGTCAAAGAGCCCCAAGAAGCAATAGCATTGTGAGCAGGTGTTAGTCATTTTTATTGAAGGATCTAAGGTTAGGTTTTTTGTAGAGAGAATGATGGAAAAGAACTTGAGAACACAAATACTCATTGAGAAGGAATAGGTTAGTACTAAAGAGAAGGAAGGAGTAGAGAGAAAGGAGCCGAAGAAAAACTTATTTACTTCATAATTTTGCCCTAGGTTTTATGGTCATTTGTCATAGTTGAGTTCAATCCAGCAAACATATATTGAGCCCCTACCAGGTGCCAGATACCAGTAAGAAAACAAAATGGAAGGAAGCTCTTAAATGGAGAATTTAAATAAATGAAGTAAGGCCAAAAATTGAGATTCATACAAAAAACTTTGGGAGCTGAGAAGCAGGGAGCCTGATGGCAACTTAGCTCCTAGAGAAGGAAGTGTCTGAGCAGGAAAATTAATAGAAGTTAGGCAGATTTTGAGGTTATGTGGGGGGGCAACTATTGGGGAGGAGCTAAAGAGGGAACAGAAATTGGTGGGAAATGGAGCATGTGCCCAACATTGGACAATCTGCCCAAGAAAAGGTCTGAACATAAAGCAGTATGCTATTTCGGGATTGGCAAGCAGTTCAGGGCTGCTTCATCATAAAGTACAAAGAATGAGGAAAAGGCAGTCTATGATCCTAAATAGGTAGATCAGAGCTAAGTCAGATATGTGCATATTTTTATAACTTTTACAACATCCTGTTGTGCCAGACATCTAGAAGGCTTCCTGGATCTGGCCTTCAAATTCATTCCAGGTTTGTGGACTCAAAATGTTAGTTGTGATTGCTCCAAAAACATATTACAACTGGCTTGTGGGCCCTCTATGGGACAGTGAAGTGGACCATAATATCAAAATTTTTTCAATGTAAATTTGAGCTTGTTTTGACTATTACTGGAAGAATACTTAAAAATAGTAACATTAATGACTTCTAGAGAGAGAGCACTGGGAACAGAGTGGAATGACTTTAATTCTCACTGTATGCCCTTTTCTACTGAATTTGAATTGTTTACCATGTATATTTATCACATATTCAAAAAAATCATAAAAGAGAACTAAAGAGACATTTATTCCATAAGATAAAGAAATTATCAGCATATAAAAGAGTGATTTGCTAGGCACAGTGGCTCATGCCTGTAATCCGAATACTTTAGGAGGCCAAGGTAGGTGGACCATGAGTTGAGAGATTGAGACCATCCTGGCCAACATGGTGAAACTTAGTCTCTACTAAAAATACAAAAATTAGCTGGGCATGGTGGCACCCCTGTAGTCCCAGCTACTTGGCAGTTTGAGGCAGGAGAACCGTTTGAACTTGGGAGGCGGAGGTTGCAGTGAGCAGAGATTGTGGCGCTACCCTCCAGCCTGGCGACAGAGCAGGACTGTCTCAAAAAAAAAAAAAAAGAGTGATTTAATTTATATTAATAACCAACTTAACAACTTCCACAATGGTGACAGCAATGATAACATTAAAATAATTTTGTCTTTCAAACCCTGAGAAAAACATGAGGTTGGAGAAATCTTCTGTATATCCTCTATAAATTTTGCCTCTTTTTTTATTTTCCAGTTTGCAGCCCACCTTGTGAAAATGAAATATCCAAGAATCTGTATTCTAGATGGTGGTATTAATAAAATCAAGCCAACAGGCCTCCTCACCGTCCCATCTCCTCAAATATGAAGAACCAACAGTGTGACTGCCAAAGGTCAACGTTGCATCAGCACCAACAGCACAGTTCTTCATATCCATGCCACTCTCAGACAAAACTAGATGTCCAGATTGTTGCATTTCCATAAAGTTTGTCACGATACATTTTTAAAAAATCTCATAACCTACATGTTCAGCTATCCAGGGAAGAAACTTGACTGTACATGTATTGCTGAAGAATTTTAACAGTGAAATCTGATCATGTATTTTTACCACACTACCACATAAAACCCAAGGAATTCAGCTGACAAGACAGATATAGCATTATCAATAAATCCCAGTTGCCCTGAAAAAGCTGTCCTCCATGGTACCGAACAGACAGTTCTACTGATTGTATTATTTAGAAACACTTTGAATGTGGGCTGAAATCATCATCTTTACCTGATAATGAAAATTGAGAAACTATTCACAATGCATTCCTGATAAATAAATGCTACATTTAGTAACTTATTTCACCCACAAAAGGGGTGTGTGTGTGTGTGTGTGTGTGTGTGTGTGTGTTTAGAGGAAGTAGAGTTTGACCCATTACACAAAGTGGTAATATTTACTCCCAGAAAAATGAAATCTGGAAACCATTAATATTTGATAGAATATTTGGTCAGTTCCTATAGCAAACAAGAATGACTTCAAAAAATTTTTTTAGTTTATCACATGAAAGTCTGTATAGTCAGTCCAGGACTAGTATACTGGTTTCCTGATCATTAAGAACTCATTATCTTCTCTCATTGCCCAACCTCAATACATGACATCCATCTCATGGATGAAAATGGCTCCTGAGCTTCTAACATCACATCTGTTATCTAGAAGGAAGAGAATGAGGGAAGTAGAAAGGGGATAAAGAGAAAGGAAGGAATGAAATATGGAGGGAGGAAAGAAGAAAAGAAACGAAAAAAGGGAAGCATGCTCCTTCCCTTTAAGGTCACAAACCAGAAGTTGCACACATTACCTCTGCTTTCATTGACCAGAACTTAGGCACCTGGCCACATCTAGCTTTAAGGAATACTGGAAGTATAGTCTTTGACTGGTTGACCATTTCTCCAGCTAAAAAAAAATCTTATTACTGTATGGGAAGAAGAGAGTACATATGAGGTACAGCTAGCAACCTCTGCCTCTGCCACATTATTTGAAAAATTAAGTACTATACTCCATTCAATCTAAGACATCTCACAATTTTAGGTACCACAAAGAAAGAAAAAAAGGCAGCCAAATGAATTATGACACATTGTCAGTTAAAAAACACATTCCCTGGGAGACCAAGGTCAGGAGTTTGAGACCAGCCTGGCCAACATGGGGAAACCATGTCTACTAAAAACACAAACATTAGCCAGACACAGTGGCACATGTCTGTGGTCCCAGCTCCTCAGGAGGCTGAGTCAGGAGAATCACTTGAACCCAAGAGGCAGAGGTTGCAGTGAGCTGAGATCAGGTCACTTTAGTCCAGCCTGGATAACAGAGTGAGACTCTGTCTCAAAAAAAAAAAAGAAAAAAATCCCATTTCAGAAATCTGAAAAAATATGCATCTTTTAATTATTGAACTATAGCACATCCTTTAACTATCTTCAATTTTGTTTTAACTAAAAAGTGTTATTCATCTATAATTTATATTTCACTTCAATGTTAAGACTACCTAGGCAGAGCCTCAATTCAACTTTCTGGGCCATGGTTTTGTTGTGGTTGCTATTGTTTTGTTTAGTTTTTTTTTTTTTTCTTTTCATCTACTTTTTAAATTGAGATATACTTAGCATAAAATTCATCCTTTTAAAATGTAAAATTCAGTAGTTTTTAGTGTATTCACAAAGTTGTTCAATCACTATTATCCACAATACTTTCATTGTATGCAATTCTCTACCTGATTAGCAGGTATTCCCCATTAACACCTTCCAAGGTCTTTGATAAATTTTTATATGTGGAGTAAGGGGTCCATCTTCATTCTTACATGTGAGTATCCAGTTGTCCCAGGGCCCATGCTGTTTTCTTTGTTTTATTCCATTTATTTGGCCATTCACCAATACGTTTTGAATACCTGCTATGTCCAAGACAGTAATATAATCCAAAGTTCTATCATTTTGTGATCCTTAAATAGTTTACAAAGAAAAAAATGTGAGAATTAATGGGAACAAATATTTACCAAGATTTCTCTAACATTGTTTTTGGGCCATCATCTACCCTGTTTAGAGAAATATCATTAAATCCTCCTGTCCTAGCAATTACAATTATTTTCCTTCAATCTTTGATGACTTTGACCTCATAGTCAGAATGCAGCATTGATGATCATTCTGAGTCTTAACTTTGCCTTACTGAGAAAGCAGAGAAGAGAGGGATGGAGGGGCAGTGATTTGAGTTGAATAAGATGGTAGCTAGTAGGAGAGGATGAAGACCTTGTCAGGAGAACTGTGTAAGAAGATAATAGTCGCAACCCTCTGTCATAATTTTGCATTTGATCTTTCTTAAAACTTGACACATTTAGGCTTATTCCAGGAAATTGAAGTTTTTTAAACATGCAAATTATAATATTTAATATTGTCAACAGTAAAGTAAGAAAGCACACTATCACTGCCGCCATGTTTATACATAGAGCATGTTATTTCATGGTGGATGATACCAACAAAGTTGACCTCAACAACAATTTGTTAGATTACACGTATATAACCCAGGATTTATTTGAGGTCCTTTTGCTATATTATTGACTCCTACACGATCATTATCGTCACTGTTTCTGGCTCTACCTGGAGTGCCATAACTACCACCACCAGCCCACACAGATACACATACACACACACTCACACACGTATACAAACTTACATACACAAACATACTTATTAATCCTTGATAATCTAGCAACAACAGTGTACCTCTTCCAGTCTTCTCTGGCTTCCCCATGTTCCATTAGAGCCTCAAATCTACCAAAGCATTCCATTCATACTTATAATAGATTTATTGCATCATTTTACAATTATTTACATTTAGGCCCCTATTAAAATATGAGCTCCTTAAGGTCAGGAGATATAATTTATACCTTTTGCTACCTTCATCAACCTACTATGTTGGATATGTGCAATTAATACTAAATTGAATATCAATTTTAGAATTGATTTGAAGGGAGAAAAAAATAACCTGTGGTAATTTTTTTCAACTGCCAAACTTATCTGGTACCTGATGGTATATAAATAAATTGAAATCTCAATTTGTGAAGTATAGAAAGGATCTCTAAAGTTCCATCCAGCTCTAAAATTTAATAATTCTGGAAGAGTAAATAAACTTTCAAAATAAGCTAATTGGATCCTCTTTTTAAAATACAGAAATGTTAGATTCAAAAAGCATATTAAAAATAACTAATGTGTACAGGTTAAAAAATAATGTTTAACCAAGTGTAAAAGAAAGAAATTTCTTTTATTGGAAATGAAAAGGACCTGAAAGGCACAGCTTTTAGGCCCGTAGGATATCCATTATCAATATAAGCCCTAGGAACTCAGGGTTTAACATGTATATAGGAATAGAAGACATAGCTTTGGACCTTCTGGGTGAGAGTTCTTATAAAGACGTCTTTATGAAGTGGCAGTCTCAAGGAACTCTGCTCCATGAAATGACAAGACATAACTTCCCACCAAATTAGGGAAGCTACAGAGGAGACTGTCATTGGCCTGGTTATTCTTGATGAAGGAAGAAAAATCTATTACGGACAGATGGAGTTGTTCAATGGAAAGTCTGGGGTAGGTTCCTGATGGAGAACAGGCTTTAGTGCACTTCAAAAGGAAAACAATGAATTGTTTAACACTTTTAGAGGACACAGTGGTACCAGATTTTTGTTTAACTCCTTTGCTTTCTTCCTCCAAATAGTTACCAAAAAATATTCCATTGGGAACAGTATCAAAGGGATTCTATAGTATCTCCAAAGAATCTTATTCACTAGCTTCATTTAATAAAATCCACTACAAAGAAAGAAGACTGCTGCCTTTAATAGAAAGATAGCGTTGGCACTGTTGATAATCTAGCAACTCATTCCATCAGTTGTAACTAGTAATGCCACTGTTATGCCTGCTGAGCCAATATACAGTTATTATTTACCAAATAATGCTTTTTTCAACATTGATTAAATCAGAGTGGAAGCAAAATGGTAATATTTATGATAAATTTTAGTTTGGACGTTCAATGTCAGGATCAAATATTCTTCATAGCTACAAACTTAAATTTTATGTGGAAAAGCAATGATGAAGAGTTTCAAACCTCAACTGACACTTAACAGGATATGTAATTGCTCACACACAACCTTTAGGTTTTGTAATCCAGTTTTATCTCATACAATATTAGAAACAGTACACTTTGTAAATAGCTATTTTAAAAGTTAGCCATATTTTTAAAGTCACATGTATTTATAACTTTTCTGAGTAATTTTCTTGTTAATGCCTTATTATAGGTGCTTGTAACATGAAAACTAAACTTGGATCTTGGTATATTCAGTATTCTATAGATAGATTGTGATATGCATAGCTTCTACTGTGACTCTCAGACCTAATGTCTCCTCTTAGGTTTCCTTTAATATCCTTTCTCATTCCTTTCAGGGGGCCTATTTTTAGTTTGCATTGTTTGCAGCATTTCAGTAATACTGTTCTATTCTAATAATATTGTTCTGCTCTAATAAACATTTCTAAATACTGTGGTTCCAAAGCACTGTATTGCCAACATTTCTAGATATTAACTATTAACCCCCTGCACGGTGGGGGTTAAGACACTGCTCTGTCTTAGCATAAGACCAATCTTGGAGCTATAACAAATGCATGTAAAGCATTAGATCAGATTCTAAATACTGCTTCCTGACATGCTAAAAGATTCAATCTTTACTCTCATTCCATGTGTATATGACTTAAAAAACAGTACATGCCCTCCCATTTTTTAAAAGACTGTTAACAGCTTGAACACTAGCATTAAAATCTAAGATAATCCTTGCAAAAGAGACTTAATTTTCTAAAACCTGGAAACCTATTCTTATTCTGTTATTAATTTTTTCTCAATTATATGAGCACATTTTCAGTCCTATAGGGTAGAATGATTTAGTATTCCAAGTCCTGTATTACACTGGAACTGGCTCCTATAGCTTGAAAGTGCTGAATGTTCTCATCTCTTCTCAACTCTGTGGTCAGTAATCTCAGGTTAGTGGCTTGTCATCAGCCACATCAGGAGTATTTACACCATAGAAATAGGCAAATATCCTAAATCAGGCTCTTTTAAAAATTTTTATTTTTGAGAGCCAGTCAGTAACATTTACTAGTGCATCATTGATTTAACCATTCTAGGGTCATTATATTTTCTGTACTATAAATTATGAAAGTAAAAGGAATGTTAAAGATTATTCAATCCAAACGCCATTGTTCAAAACAGTAAGTAAAGTAAAAAAAAAATTTGCAAACATCACATAGCTAGTAAAAGGCGGATTCGGAATTACAATACTGCCTTTCTGATTCCTTGTCTATTTTTCTGCTCATCATATACAGATAAAAAAAGTAAAGGGCACCAATTTCAAATTCATTACATATTTATTGCAGGCCAAGTTTGGATCAGTCACTGTATTATATGATGTGGTGAGGTACAAAAATGAAGCACTGAAAATGTCAATTAAACTGACTGCTGACTCTATCACATGGAAATGCCACTTAATATCAGCCCTTAGAGGATGGCACTCTCACCTCCTTACCTTCTTCACATATTCAAAATTAAATATTTTTAAAAAGAATGCATTTGAGCATTCTGCTCTGAGGGAAGAATCACTATTTTCAGGAACTCTTGCTATGTATTAAGTTACCTCTTCACCTTCAAGACAACCTTCCTCAGAAAAACATCCCTGGTAGAGAAACATCCCTGTACTGCCTCTGTCTACAGTACAATCCTTGATATACAGGATCAAAGTTGGCTTTTAACCTTTGTTTTCTATGTCTTAGCCAGGGACCAGGCTTGAAAAATCAGAAAAGTCCTCCTTTCAGTTTCCCAGTGGTGTGTGGAAAGTGAAGGTGAGGGAATGGGGGATAGCTGGCTTCTTGATTTGTTAACCATGAAAGAGAAGAAATAGAGGTGATTTAAGTCATTTGCTAACTTTAAAATACAGTTTTGTGCTCTGAGATAAACTGATAATTATTTGCCAGATAGCACGTATTTTCTAAAATTATCTTTAAGATCATTAATAATTCCATATACCATGCATTCATAACCATAGACTCTATATAAAGCCATTAGGATTTGAAAGGCATGTGAGAAACAGAGCTACTGGACTGAGGCCAGATGGCACAGATGGTAGTTTGCAAAGTGATGTGCAACCAAGAAGGGAATCACATTATTGTTTAATAAGAATGATTTATATAAATGAAGATTTTTTTACACCTCTGGATGCATTATATTATCATTAATTACATGTGGCAGTATAAGATGACAGGATGAAATATTTGTCTAAATGTAATGCCTAGTGTGACCATTTTAACTCCCTACTCTGAACTTCTTTCCTATTTTCAAAGATCTCAGGATCTGCTCCCATCCCACACTGCCTTAGCATGACTATATTCTGGAGAGGCCTTCCTGAGATGCCTTCTATTGAAGACCTACCCTGAGCAACTGGCATAAACAGGTAGAATCCATTTCCAGGATTTATCCATTTACCTTTGTAGAAAAAAAAAATGCATATCACAAATACTGATTCAGAGGTAGGAAGTTATTTTGAATTGTTTCTCAAATTAGTCTGACAGAGATAATAGGTGTTAAAAAGTTTTTAACCCTACTTTGGTTTACTATAACTCACTGACTACTATACAGTCCTCCTAAATAATGGTTTATCTATGTTTAGATTGTAACAATATTTCTTTTTCATATCAACTACTGTCAGGTAGTCATTTTGATTTCTGCCACAATATGGTACCTTGAAAAAAGCATGAGAAGAGTGTTTCCCTGGTGGTGAAGAAACTTTAAAATATCCCCCCCCCTTTTTTTTAATTAACTAACATGAATCCAAACAGATTTTAAGTCTAACAGCATCCCAGGTATAGAGAAGGACTAGACTAGTTCAAGTTTCAAAAGTAATATACCTACAGATATTATTTTTAAAAAACAAAAACAAATTGAAGCCTCTATCATGACTGATGCTTTACTAATATTTTACAAAACACACTGGACACGAAATGTGCTGACGAGGCATTTAAGCCTGTATCCCAAAATATGTTTACTTGTAAGTCACATATATGTATGTATGTTTAAGTGAATGAAATAATAAAAAGGAGATGACTTTAACAGATTAAGTCTTAACACTCATTTAAGTGACATGTTATTTTAACATGAATCCTATGCAGCAATATAACAACTATTTAAGATTTCAGTGGTGACTCATATAACTTACATAAAGCAAGATGTTACATATTTGTAAAGAAACCATTCCACAAAATGGTAGCAGCTCAGGCAGAGACTGATGACATTAATTGTCCTATAAATCACTAACTCTATGGCATTCTGAAATGAATTTTAAATTGCCCTGTTTGATTAAGTGAAGTAATATCAAAATTAATATTAAAGTTAATTATTGTCAGCCAAATTCTGTTAACTCAAAAAGAATAAATTAATAAGTAAATTAATTGTTACAATTACTTAACCCTTTTAATTAGCTTGTCCTGCCCAGGACATTAACTGAACCACTTTTAAAAAGCTGTTAGGCATTTATTACAAAACCTGATTGAAATTTTATGTGAGTGTATTATTGGATGCACACTTTATTACTTACCAGCTAAAACTAAATGACGATTTTTAGGATCTGAACCAAATACTAAATTAAATATCTGGTACAAATTAGTTGTATAAAAATAAACAAATGAAAACAGTAAATTGTGAAAGGGGCCTAGTGACAACTTCGAAGGTTGACATCCCACACATATACTTCTACCAGATACTTCTTGGTCCATGTCATGATAATTTTATTGCTCCTTGAAAGCACATGAGCACTTCAGTTGTTTCAAGAGCAGGTGAAACCTCAGCTCCTCCACAACAGCTATCCCCTAAAATGGCATGTGTATTTTTTGTTTACTCAGATCTTGGAAGGCTGGAATGAGGAAGAACTATGTGCTGAGGTTTCAGGTTAGCTGGCATTTGCTTAGTGTTCATGGTTAAACTTTCTCAAGAATCTTTCATTTCACAACACTAAGTTTCCTTAAGCCCCCAGAATTATGGTAAATCCTACTTCATGCAGCACTATTCAGGAAGCTCAAACCTCCACTGTGGTCAAAGTAATGACTGTCTTCAAAGAAGGGTTTCCAGATTTCCAGTGTCAGCATTTAACCTTCAGACATCTTTAGAGTAAGAAATATGTTCTAGGATCCCAACACTATCATGTTAAGAGTACATTCAAAAAGACTACCCTGACAAAAACAACATGTTTCAGGAAGAAGAGGGGGAAGCGAGGGTTCAAGTTTTCCTCTCCCTTAAACCTCAAATTACAGGGAGCCTGCAGGAAGAAAAGGAGATCAATTATCAGAGAACTTGGATTCCCTACTACTGGCTTCTGCGCTGTTTTTTTCAGTGTGTGTCTGGGTTCACATGGGTTCCCTAAGGCTCTGGTTCCTCACATTTAAAAGAGATAATAGCATTTATCCAGCCTGTCTCCTAGGTTTATGGTGAAGCTCATAGAACAATATTTTGTAAATGGAAAAGTATTATTCAAATATGTGTATAATTTTTATAAAAGTCAATTGTTCTGTAAAACTATCAAGCCAAACTCTTGATCTATTGTATAGTTTTTAGAGGAGAAATATTGACACAACAAATAATTACTCTTACAATCCATATGCTTTTCCTATTATGCAACATAAACAAAATGGAAGACTTCACAAGCAGTATTAAGTATACACTGCACACTTGATACTGTTTAATTTCATTTAAAGCACTTATTTCTGCTAAGTTTATAAATTTTATGCAAGATTCTTTCAGACTTCTCTTTGTTTTATATATCACCGTTTCTAAACCCAGTTTTACCAACTAAAACACACTTTTTACAATAATCTAAATTCTCTTAATACAATCTGGCAGGTTCAGTTTTGCCAATAACTATCTACACCTAGATGGCAGAGATTAACTTTGTTTCAAATCCTCCCTTCCCTTCAGTTTTATCTCCCTCTTCCCTTGCAGCTCTCTCCTGGACTTCAAAGCAGCTTTGTGGTTTGCCTTACAGAAAATCAATGGTTGGGAGATGAAAAGCAGCCCTTGTTTATCTCTGCTTGCTGAAGGTCATTCTACTCAGTAGCATTTGTGTGAGATCCACAACTATTTTTCCTCACAGAGGGGAGAAGTAAATTGATTACATACACAGAAATCATTATAAAGAGAGAGTGGGCTTCATTTTAAAGTGGTAAGATCATATCAAAACACAAATATAACAAGAATCAGTATAGTAGCAAAGTACTCGTGTTCAGAGTATAAGTTTAAAGTATTATTTAATGTGACCCTGATTTTATAAAGCTGTTATATGTCTGGACCTGTTACAGGGTACAAAACTACATAGTTTATCACATATTCAAACAGGCACCCAAGAAGTTATTTGAACTTAGTAGGCCTTAAGGACTATGACTAATAAGCCATTAATAAATGAGTGCTATGGGTATTGAATTCTACATAGGTAAGTTTTCTCACAGCAGATATGGCCAGAATTATGGGTCTTGCTTAGCCAGATTGTCTATCAGTCTGTTTTCGAATGCTGATGACATGTTGTCACTCAGCCCTATTACATGAATTGCTTAGCTCCCAGTGTTCTTTACATAACAAGTCCATTGCTTGAACCAGTATTGACAAAAGAAACCTAAAAAGTGCATACATCCACCGAATACCATCAAGTAGATGGTGAGCTTTCCTGGACTCCTATAGCAGGTAGGCTGACCCTCAATGATAACACTTTGTCCTGTCTCTGTGATGAAGCTAGTGGGTTAGGTCAAGTAGTAGAGTTTTAGAGGTATTTTATGGCATTAAGGCAGAGACCTAAAAATCCTTGTCATTCATCCTCTTCTCCACCAAGTTCCCAAGTGAAATTTACACATCAGGGATAACAGCAAGCGGAAAACAAAGTGCCAGCTTATGGCTGGGCTAGTGACCACTTCTCCACAGTTTAGAGCTTCCATAACCCTGGATTAAAACCCACAGCTTATGCTCAAGGCCTCCATAGGATTGTGTCTGCACCAAGCCAGAACCTAAATCTTGGATCTCATTTTCTAGTTTATCACATAGTATGAGAACTAAAACAAAGACGCAGTACGCTTTAAGATGTGGATAAAAAGATAAGAACATCACAAAAAGATGGCCAGGTAACGAAAGAGACCTTGTTCAATTTACAAATTGTATCACATGCACTGAAAAGAGAGGAAAGACAGAACCTCTTAAAAGTTAAATAGTAACCCTGCCCATCAGGAAGTGTGGCCAAAAAAATGTTATGGAACCAGACCAATCAGATTATAATTGCCTCTTTTTGTGGGGAGAGGCAAGGAAGGGGAAGAGGAAAAATGTGAGCAAGGCTCCTCTTCCCCAGATACATGATGCACCCCACTTTCTGGATTTCTTTGAGAACAAGATGGGTAAAATCTTCATTTTACTATTTCCCATAGAAATAACTACACTGTCAACACAAAAGTGGGCTTTAATGAGTGTTTATTGATGAAGGAAGAGAAACATTGTCTACGATATAAAAACCATCAATCAACGATTGATTAAGTACCAGATACATTTTTGTACCCTAGGATATGCAATGGATGCTTAAAGAAATAGTCCATTGTCCCTGTTATAAGGGTTGACACATACAGGGAATTAGAAAAGAGAACAATAACATAACAGTGTGACACAGGCTACAAATGTACTGTGTGCTTAGCAAAAGCTAAACCTGGGACTTCCTTGTGAACTAAGGCTGTTCTTAATGAAACTACTTCACAAGATAAGGAGCTTTTAT